TCCCTGCCAAAAACCAGCCTTGTCACCAGCACAAAGAGTTAATACACAGCATTAGCTCAGTGACTTTTCTTCAGAGGGTTGAAGACTGTCTGACAGTATCATGGCATTATGAAAACACACACTTGAGTGGGGGAAAGTCCAGACAATATGAACTAGAAGTATGTAAATGATCCGTTCTGAATACACACCGCCTGTGCAGAATTCTGCTCTGCAAGAAAATTTCTAAAAATTGCAAAGTATCTTCTGTAAATCACCCGCCCCTTTGGTGATTCTGGCTGTTCTCTTTACTGCAGGGAAAAAAAAAAAAAAGGACATTATTAGAGATTGCAGATATCCTCAGGTGAAATGTAGAACTTGTACACTGCTCCTTGGTTACCGTAATGTCTTACAGGTGCCTTAAACAGAGCTGGAGAATGGTGCATGTGTTAAAGGCCACATCCCCTGCTTTTGTAAAGAAAGAAAACGGCTGAGGTGTTGGAGCAAATGGAGAAGAGGGGACATAGCATTGCCCTAAGTGAAATTGTAATCACGGTGTTATTTTACGCTCAATTGGACAGAGAGCTCAAATGTGACTATGTTCAGTTATCAAATGAATTATTTTTGGTTTTTTTGACACCACATGCGGACCAGTAAGTAAACAACATTTCAATCTCTGTTTTGGCCCCCTTCTATCTGTTCTCCTCTAATCACAGAGTTCAAGCTCTCACCTTGACCTTGACCCCGCATAGCTTGAAAGGTTTGATACTAGATGCACCAACAAGGCCCAAACAAAACAAAAAATGGATGATGTGGTCGCAGTCGTTCCTCACTGGATATTTTGCAGAGGTTTGATAAGGAGGGCCATACTTGGCAGTTCTCAAAATCCATTATGGACAAATGATAGCCCATTTAGGGAGCTGTGAATTCTTTACATCCTTGTAATGATGCTCTGTTTCCTTAAGGCTTTGTTTGAAGAACATCTTTAAGAGAATGAATCAAAGGCTTCAGAAGGATGCGCAGCAGAGAGGTTCTCTCTCATCTCCCTCCAAACCTTCATTTTAGGTTTCTCAAGACTTTCAGAAGTTATAAGAAATTGCTTTAAATTACATTTAAGTATAAAAGGAAACTAGGAGATTGGAGACAACAAAATAAGGCAAAAAGAAAAAAAAAAGTGGAAAAATAACCCGTTAAAACATGAATTACATTTTGAGATTTCTCTGTATTGTATTCTCTTCACTGCAACATTTATTCCAATACATTTTTAAGCACATGCAACACTGGTGACCTGTTTGTACATGGATTTCTAATGCAGTCCAAGAACCTTTACATTAAAAGCATACAAGAACTCACACACACATGCACGTATTCCTTCTAGCATTAGTCCTGAGGAAAACTTAAATTTCACTTGGGAAACCCAATGTCAGTTCCGCAAGTACATTTGGGAGACAATTCACCAGCTACTGTGGACAAATTCCTAACCTGAATACCTCGCATTCAGCTGCAGTGTGCTGCTGAAATTGTTGTTGTTCACCAGATTGCAGTGTTTGGCTGAAATAGTTCACAGCAGTCCAGGATTCGCAGCACTGGAGACAAAAACTACATTCTTTAGAAAACATACTCAATGCAGATGAAGGATCGTGTGGAGATGCTAACATTTAAAACATAAAATTGATTAAACATACCCACAAAGAAACTAGAAAACGTTACAACTCTTTAAAGATTTATCATTCATTGAATAATTCATATAATTATACAGTCAGCCTTTTTTTCTGGCTTAGATGTTCAGGCCAACTCACAATAACAACAAGACGCTAAAATCACTCATTGTAAAGGAATACATATTTTAAGATATTGCTTGAGCCCATGGCCATCACATTCCACTAGATGTCAGCATGACAGAAACAGTTTGCGCAGACTTAAAAGCGTAAGTCCACTCCATTTATTTTTGTCATCTTTGGAACATAGTACGTCAACCCCATTAATAACGGAGCATATATTCGCAGTAATAAGTTGAACCCAAAATAACAGTCTCATTATATCCCCCTTCTGTGCCCCCCTCACTTAATGGAGCCGAATAAAGGCCTTCAAATCAGACTCATGATGCCAAAGAAACTTTCTAAATAAGATGTAAATCATTTCAGTTGTTCTAACTGCTTTTCTTAATGCAGAGATATGGTCTTCTCGCTTTAAAAAACAGCACAATAAGCTCTTTTGGTCAGATATTACAGTATCTGGAAGAAAAAGCTTTGTGTCAAATGCAATGTAGTTGATCCACATCGAAAATTACAAGGCACGTACTTTAAAAAAAAATAAATCCCATGTTCTGAAGTATTTTTACAATCATCTCTTGTAAAAATTGTTCTGGATATCTCATCATAGCTACTGGGACGTGGTTTTTTTGTTTGTTTGTTTTGTTTTGTTTTCACGTTTTTTGGACAGACGGAATGAAAGACCACAAAATGCAGAAAAAAATACAGAAAAACACAAACAAAGCAAAATACGACACAGTGATACAATGTCCACCACGACAGCGATGGCCAATTCTTCTCAATTCTTTGGCTGACAAAGCAGTGACAATTGAAAATACGCAGTGTTGATCACTGGTTTACAACAGTATCTGAAATACAACAAAGGGTGGTGATTGGGTTGTTGGTGTTTTTATGTTGTTCTTAACAAAACAAAGCTGCCAAGTAATTGCTGTTGGAAAAATTACAAGAGAAATCATGGGTAGCTATAAAAAAAAAAAAAGATGAACCAGAATGACATCTGTGGAAGAGAATAATGGTTAAGGAACAAATGAAATAAATGGCAACATTTCTAGGCATTTATTCCGATATCTTAGAAAATAAAAATTAAAAATATCTTCATAGCATCACCATTTAAAAATACAAAACAATGTTGAGATTAAGCCAAAAGAAAAGGAGACTTCTTCTTTCTTTCTTTCTTTCTTTCTTGCTTTTTCGTCCACCTGAAGCTTCATTTATTCATATTACACACATACCCTGCCGGTACAATTTTTTGTCACAAGATGCACAAATCCTGGTAAGGAGCACCATTCCCCTTTCTCCTCTGTAAAGCCACTCTTTCCTACGAATGGTCCAACCCCCAACTCTCCAGTGCCGTTCCAGTACCTCATGAGACAGCAGAACAGATCCCTACATGAGAGGCCCATGCAACCAGCAGCACCAAGTTGAGAGCATGCATTCCCCCACACACGCTCAGCCAAGGAAAAGAATTCAATTGTTATTAAAAATCCACCTTAAGGCAAATAGAGACGTATTTTCTACCTCTTACTGAACTATTTTAACTCGTCACATTTCAAACACGGATCTCGAACTTGGTAAATGAACTGATGCTCAGTGTGGAGAATGCTTTAACCAGAAAGAAGAAAGGGAAACGCTTTTCCTGTCCAAAACAAAATCAATCATTTTTGCCTTAATTCTATCTACATTTTGTTAAAGCATTCTGTGCTCTTTCAATACACAACATCAGATTGCAAGTTTGGCAACTTTTTGCTTGTTTGCTTGCTTAATAAAAATTCAGACAGTTCTTTCTGTTTGCAATCAGAACCACAACCTTAGTGCAATATTATATTTATTTCTTACAGTAATTTTGGTTGCCATACAAGAGTATTAAGGATTGGGGAAAAGTGCAAGTTACAGGAGCTTGATCTTTTAATCAGTTGAAATAAGAGGAATTAAAGCACAAAAATTACAGCAACATAGATAACGTGAACACAAGTTCTTACACAAACTATAGCGAGAAACATAGTAATATCTAGAAAAGAAAAGAAAAAATGTAATGGAAAAATTATCAATATTTGTGGCTCATACACATAATCATCGCCAGATCAACTGGGTAATGCTTTTTAAGAACGGAGAAAAAAATCACTATTTTATTAACTTAAGTACCACAAATAATTAACTTTTGTGATATGTAAATTCTGTAAATCAACAGTCACATCTAGTCATTTTATAATATATGAATTCAACTGAAAATGTTCTCAGACACCTAGGGAAAGGAGTCTGTGCAGTTATACACAATTTACATCTTGTAAGATTTTGGTATTGTATACACAAATATTACAGAAACTAGGCATGTAAATGCAATTTATTTAAATTACAGTATATAAACAAAAGTTGATCCTAAAACCCAGAATATCATAATGTATTTCATAGATCTCTAACAACTTGTTTTTCACTATCATAGAAGCATGAAATAAATGGGTCTTCTCTCCTCCCCCCCAATGTTTCCAGACTGACGAAAATACTCGGAGGCAACGTCGTATCTGTTACTATTGCTTTCTGTAGCAAAATCATCAAACAGAGCTAGAGACCAATTCATCTTGGCAGAGGTGCATTTTATTGGTGAAAGGAGGTCCTCTCAGGTCTCGTTACGTTTACTTTGTAAGACACGATGTAAAAATAAACTATTTCATTAGCTCTTTGATGTTTCAAACCTCTTTTCTGCTAATGATTTTGTACCTATTCTTTCAGTACCTGAAAAGGTAGACAGGCAAGAAACACACCTGTGTTAGAAAGGGATTACCACCAACTGTAATTGACCGTGAACGTCAGCACTCGTTAAACTGAAATTCAACAATAAGGTTGTGAGTAAAAAGCAGCTTCAAAGTCAACTTCTACATTGTTGTTACTACCATAATTTCTAACGTATTTTCTGGCACATATTACAGAGGTAATATCAACTGTACCCAAAGAAACAAAAAAAAAAAAAAAAAAAAAAAAAAAAAAAAAAAAAAAAA